ACCCCCCCCCCCCCCCCCTGGCCCCCCCAAAAAAAAGGGGGGCCCCTGCCCCCCCCCCCCCCCCCCACTGTCTGCGAGAGTTTTGTCTTCACCTTGGTCTGCTTGATGGAGGAGGAGTTCTCCTGCGTGGAGGCCTTGAAAGCGATAGCGGGGAAAGACCGTCGGAGGTGCTTGAGCCACTTCGCGACCACCTCCTTCGGCACCAAATCCACCTAGTATTTAAACAAGAGCAAGAGCGACAAAAGGATATTTTCGAGTTGAGATGAGAGTATCTCAACGGCGATAAGCAAGTAGTGAAACACAACAGCAGCGGCCGCCAACCACCAACAACGGCACAGCCAGAGTAACAACACGATCTAGCAGCAAAGCCACCACCACCACCACCACATCAACAGCAACGACGACGTCCACGACAGCAAGAACAGCACAATGCAAACGCCTAGCCAGAGCATGCTAGCAATAACAACGGCACCTACTTGACAGCACCAACACCGCCGACGCACCTTGTTGAGAACGAGAACGAGCTTCTTGCTGGCCTTCGAGAGCACTGCCGCCTCTACCGCCTGAGCCCGGCTGCCCAGCGGATCCCGTGCGTCCAAAACCTCTAAAATTACGTCCGCTGTCTCCACCACCTGCAACATCGAAAACAACAGCAACCACAACAACAATGACCATGTGTCGGAGAAGAGACCATGAGATGAACGTCCGAAAAAATCTGGGCTTCGACAAGAAAAAACAATCCATTCCTGCCCTAGAAGCCACCACCGTGGGTGCATCAGGCTATCAGGAGAGCTACATGAGGGTGACGCGCGCAAAGCGAGTGATACCTACATTCGCCTGGCCCAGGCTTGCCGAAATGCATCTGCTCACCAAACTGGTGCCGTACCTTTTTCAGCTCGCGGAAGTAGGCCCTTCTCGAGCTCTGGCCGTGCCGCACACTCGCGTCCTCATCCTGGTGCTCGGCCTGCAAACACACAAACATATGCACCAAACACGTCAACGACGGAGTACACTCCTAACGCCAAAATCGGACACAAACAAACAAGAAGCCGCGCGGCACAACTTTTCTTATGCCCCCCCCACAACCCCCAAACTCTTGTACCCATCGCTCGCGATGTCCACCAGCGCTCGCGGTTCTTTTCCTCCCTGCGGAGGGACTCCGACCATGAGTTGGGCAAAAACAAACAAGATTTCCTCCTTCGCTTCGAGAGAAAAAATAGTGACATTCAAGACCTACAGAAACTCACCACGACTTTTCCCGACTCGACCTTCTGGAACTCCTCCTGGGATTTCTCCGCCCCGGACACGAGCCCTTCCAGCGTCTGGCCGTCTGGAGTGAGCCCTCTCCTCTTCATCTTTGTGAGCACACGGCAAGGGTTTGAGGTGGTGATGGGAGCGCGCGCGCGGGGGGGTACGTGCGATCAGACGGGGGTGGACGTGAGACGGTCAACGCAGAACTTCCGATCCTCAAAAGCAAAACATCAGCAAATACTAGTATTTGCACGGAATATCTAAGGATATTACTGCAGTGCAGAATGCCGCCTACAACGCGTGAGTGACAAGACAATCGTATGGCATCGTCCCGTATACGTGAAGAGCAAATGCATCCAACTCTTCGGTAGAGAGAATAGCCGCGGGACGTGGTACTGCAAGTTAAAGAGAGCAAACGTGGCACGCGTGAGTACCAACTTGTGGCTCACCATCTCCGCTCTTCGCTTTTCCTTGGCGAGAACTTTGCGATCCTCGACGCGTTTTTTCGCAAACGCGATTTCGGCCAGGACCTGCGGGTGAGTACATCCACGGAGCAGAAATATGAGAAAGGGTTGGAAACACGCTCAAGCAAAGGGTTTCGAGGAGAGGTACCAGCAGCGGCAGCAGTAACATGAGACTAACGGCAGAGGCAGCAGCAGCAGTAGCATCTGCAGTAGTTGCAGCGCTTGCATCAGAAACAGCACTCATCATTCGTTGCGAAGGTGATGACACAGACAACCCCCCAATACGGTGCTTAACATTTATTGCGGTGGCGGCGGTGGCGGCGGTACTTCTTGCTGGTGCAGTGCCCATGATGCAACTAACAAGAGACTTGGAGACAGCTAGCGAGACGTATATCTGGGTCAATACCTAACGGTGGTTCAAGTCAACACCCATTTGACTACTGCAGAAAGCGGGTTTGCGTTTATTATCCCGCTAGAGACGGACGTATATTTTTGTTGATTTGCCGCTTAGCGCGGTCGGTGCTACTGGAAGAAACACACACAGACGCACAGACACACACAAAATTGCTGGTGGACACTTCAACGCCGACGGAGGCAACTCACCTCTTCCTTGAAGGGGAGCGAGTTCGGAATTCCGGGGTCCTTAATCTTGCGGCCGGTGGTGGGGTTCTTCTTGGCCTCCTTCTTCTGCTTGCGGTGATGCTCAGCGACCTTTCAACCAAGAGATGGGGGACAAAGGAACGTGTGGAACAAACTACCGTTCGTAGCAACAGGTTTGGTTGGTTCAATACGGGAGATAGCACGGGTACACTACTACACGGTGAGTACATGCGTCATACAATGGCCGGGTGTAAAAGATATTCAGTGGTTCGACCCTGGTCACTTGGGGGGCCAGCGTGCGTTTCAGCGAGGAACAGACGGACGGAGCTAAATCTGGAATACAAGAAAGACAGGCAGAGGGGCTTCAACCAGCCCTATGGCAAGGCAAAAGCAGCAGCGGCGGCGGTAGCGCCGGCAGCACAAGCAACCGGACAAAAACGCGGTGCAACTACCGCCGTATTAGCAGACAAGTGCAGGAATTCGATGAGCGGAACATTTCCTGCGTATGTCAATCAGCACCAAAATACGTACATTTTGCACGTGGTTATCAGAGTAAAATCTACCTGAGAGAGGACTGGAGTTAGGTTTGTCTGTCGAGCCTACCTGGTCCGCTTTTTTTGAATGCGCATGGCTCGGGTGCCACTAGACAAAAATGTAGACGGCATCGCCTAAACCTCTTACAAGCAGTATATACGTGCTCGAGAGCTTGACGATAGCTCAGCACCACATCAGTTGAAAGGTAGAAGGCAAAGGCACCGTGCGCGCTGTATCATATCTATAGCAGTCAGAGATCCCGGAAAGATTGAAGAACTCGCGCCTTCCTTGACGGTCTCATGTTTTTGGCAGTCAAGGGTTGCACAAAATCTCTAGACTACATCAGGTGCAGCAGCAGCCCTACATAGCTGCTTCATTACGTGGTGTTTGATTGTGCCGCCGGTAGTGCTGGATTCTCACCCTCTTCTTGATCTTGTACTTCTGCTTCAGGCTCGTCCGCCCCGACTTTCCTTTCTTCTTCACCATGGCTCCTGCTGCTGGGGATCGCCCGGGTCAAAACGCCCACGAAGCCTGTTGTTACCATCGATGTTGAGGTCGCACACAGAGAGAAGAGAGGTGATCATCGAGCACACAGCAGTACACAGCTGGTTTTCGTGTGTTCGTGGTCATGTGCACGGCCAACGAGCGTCGAAAATAGAAAATAGACTGGCCCACACACCTGATAGATGTCCACTCCCAAGCCAAAACACCGGGACAGTCGTTCTGGATCCTTACTCTAGCTGACCTGTGCTGGGGCGAGCGGGGTTTGTGTTGTAGCAGCAGCAGAGTCTGGGAGCTAGCAGCTAGCCCTTCCACTGCTCGCTCCTCTCCCACCCAAAAATGCGGGGCAATAAACCATTCGGGCTTCCCCGAACCAAAAAGCCTCAGTGTTTTTTTAGGCTGCTACAGGTTCACCTGCTTCAGGGTTCAAGCCTGCAGTTTGCAGCCTTGCAGGCACGCACAAGACACCTCATTTGCGTCTTCAGAGAGAGAGAGAGAGAGAGAGAGAGAGAGAGAGAGAGAGAGAGAGAGAGAATACCATGGGTCGAGAGATAACGCTCATGATCCTTGGCCTCATTGCAGGCTGTAGAGGCTTTGCCATACCGCCCACCGCGCGAAGATTGAGACCTACCGCTGCAGGCTGCTGGAGGAGGTCCCCACGAAATGGCTGTCATGCCTCAACAAGCAGCAGATCGTCTTCTGCAGCGAGGATCGAAATGTCCATAAGGGAAATGATCGGCGCTGACGTCGAGAGCGGGGGACTGTTTGATCCGCTAGGTGAGAAAAAGGGTGGACTGACTGCTGTGTTCAAAACAGTAGACTAGGTGTTTTAGCGGTTGGGGAGCATAGATCTACTGCTTTATTCAAATGTTCAAATGTGAGAGCAGAAGGTGATACGCAGGGGGACATTCTGCCGGCACATCTTCCCTTGAGCCGACACTATTGCCCTTGGGAGGTGCCTGAGCCAAAGTCCCGTGCAGTTTACAACATACCACAACCATCGTAGTGGTGCTCACGCCTGTGTGGCAAAGCCCTTCTCCAATAGTGCAGCCTTCACAATGTATTGCACTATGAACGTGTGGATGGAAGATGGATTTATGATTTATCAGCATCATGGGTTTGTTGACATGCTTTGGATGCCGGACAAGACCGTGGCAACACAGCAGAAGTCATGCCTGCCGCTCAACGGCTTACCACCTGCACCCCCCCCCCGACAAGAGTCTGTCCCTGCCGCCCCTTTTCTGCCCCCCCTCCCCCCCCCCCCCAACAAGAGTCCGTCTTTTCCCCCCTTGGGCCCCGGTCAATGCATGAAATCATGGAATCCGTTCGCACCACACACTGAGCAAGTACTTGGTCCAAACGCGAATGTTACGTGCGTTCGTCTCTGCGCCAACGTACTAGCATCGCATGGAGCACCCCAATAACGCCTTCATGCCTGCCTACGGTGCACCTGGTATATTGTTCGCAGGATTTTCAAAAGACGAACCCTCGCTGTTCCGAAGGCGGGCCGTCGAGCTCAAGCACGGAAGGGTAAGATGAACAAGGGGATTTGGGGGGGTGGGGGGGGGCGTACCCCTATGTTTTGCATGCCTTAGCGGTTAGACCATTGACCACGCGTCCTCGAAAGGACGGAGCATTATTCCCACAGGACCGATCACCGATGGCCAACCGTTCCTTCCTAGTTTGCCAAAGGTGGCTCGAAAATGTCTTCCCTAGTCTATCCTAACGATATCACTTCCCGCCTTTTCAAACCACTTCCTATTCCCCAGTACAGCTACCGTCTTCTCCTCTCTATTCCATGCCTCAAACATCTCCCTGTACCTCCCTTGTATTTTTTTCAGCTCAGTCATTTACACTTGTCTCTCCTTGTACAACGGACATTCCGTTGTTACATGGGGTCTTCGCACTACATGTAGGAGCCGCGATCATGTTTGAACTTGTCGTCTTCATCGTCTACCTAAGACCTCGTCTACGTTCTCGAAGGCCAATGTCCCCGGTCCTGAATTTGACCTTCAGCATTGTCCCTGCATCCGTTTGTCCATGTAAGTACTCCCTCTCCCTCTTTCAACATTCCGTACACTTCTAGACCCTCCTTATGCTTGGTTTCTTTTGTTCGATTCTGTTCTTCTCTCTCGGCAAAAACAACAGATATCTTCTCCGTGAACCCGTGTATACCTCTGTTTCCAGGATTTTGGGGGGGGGGCGGTGTAGAGCAGTCGTCACCCGAGATCCTGTCTTGTTCATGCCTCTGTGCATTGTGATACCACAACCTTGTGCAATACTTAAAAAAAAAGGATTTGCAGATAATATAATCCTGTGCCCGGTCCCCGGTCTGAAGTTTGTGGCTGTCGGTGACTGTGTGTCTATTGTCAAACCTCAGGGGATACGGAAGGGAAAACCATAAGATAGGACAACAGAAAGAGTGAAGGGAAAGAGAGGGCGATGGACGGGATCTGCTTCTTCCCCTCAAATACATTCGTAGTTCGCTTGTTTAACCCGCCACGTCTGGCAAGTACTTCACTTGCTTGTGGAAGCCCCCACAGTCGAGCCCCTGCCGACCCATCTCTGCACTCACTCCCGTGTTTGACCTGGAAACAATGTGACATGGTTTCGTTTGGAAACACGGAAGTAGTTGTCCGCCCCCTCCTGCCTGCCCGCCTGCAGCTATATCAGCGCTTCACTGGTGCTTCGCGGAAACGTGGTCACAAGCAAGCTTCCACGCACCAAACACCAGTGTCGACGGCAACCCCTCCTTGTGTTCGTCTGCCCGACAGGTGGCGATGCTCGCCGTCACCGGTATCTTGGTGCAGTCCTTCGTGCGCTTCCCGGGTTTCCCGCCGTTTCCCGTGTCTAATCCAGCGCGCCCGCTGGCGGTGCTGAAGGGGCTCTTGTCGACCGAGGGAAACAACGTGGTGCTGTTTCTGTTGGGCATTGGGGTGGTGGAACTCACGATAGGGAAGCAGGTGTGAGTCTGCCCGCGCGTTATTCTCTCTGGCACTGCAGCAAAGGTACAAAGCGCGGCAGTTCGTGTTATGGCGGCGCATACTCAGCAGTCCAGCAACAGCAGTGCCGTCGGTCTTGTGTTTCTAAAGTTTCTAGCTTGGTATACGAGAACACGCCTTGCATAGTACTGGTACCAACTTATCTTTGGGTGTGTCCGTTCATTTCGCACGGAACAGCAGTTGGTCGAAAAGCAGGACATTTGCTTGTTATGTAAGTTCTGGCTTCCCGACCTTATGGGCTTATTTCAAACCGAAAGGTCGAACCTATTTTGGTGGCATGCGTTGTCTTTCGTGGCCTCTGCAGCCACCTCGTAAGGAAGGGTTACCTTGAACAAGCCCTGGGCGTATTCAACGCACCGGCGGGGCCATGCCCACCTAACACCATAACGTCACACCGCGGTCGGTGAAGTGATGCCTCTCGTCGAGGTTCGGGCTCCCTTCCCCTAGCTGGCCTGTTTCTTGCGATGCCGGAACTCCACTTTTTTAATCCTTGTGGCCGCCGCCGCCGACACACCAGGACTACATAGACAGAGCTCCGGGAGAGCTCGGCGAGTTTGGAGCGTTCGCGAAGCCGGTGGACAAGGAGGAGTGGGATAAGGTTCAGATGGCCGAGCTGAAGCACGGACGCCTGGCAATGCTGGGTGTGGTGGGGTGCTTGGTGCAGGAGCTCGTGACGGGGGAGGGACCCGTGGAGCAGCTTCTCAACGGGAACGTAAGAGAGAGAACGACAGAGATGGAAAAAGGAAGATGAGCAGGGGAGGGAGGAAAGAGTCAAGGAAGTGATGCTTTGTGTGCTACTTTTCTTCAGCTGTCAAAAAAGTTGTGGTACATCGCGAATTTCACTGCTGTGTACATCATTCGCCATTATTTTTTGTCGTCTACCGCGCAATCGATGTTTGACTGGATTCTTCGTGCTTGTATGACGCCCTCTTGCAAATGGCACCGAACCCTCTCGTTCTCTGTATGTACCCCTCCTCGCCACGCATATGCGCCCATGCGGTACCCAACGTAGCAAGACAACTCATCGGACCCTCCTTCCCCGGACCGATATCTCGGTGCCCTATTGAGCGTTTGCCCACATTGCTCAATCTGCATCATCGTTCCCATCAACAGATATTTCCGTTCGCTTAGCGGGAGGAACCCCTGGCAAGGAAGTGGTGGACTGTTTCCGGGGTGCTACAGTAGGCTGGTGCAGCCGACCCGCAAGCCCTGATATTTGGGTGTGAAGAGAGGGTTGGGGGGGGGGGGCGCAGGGGGGGTATCATGGAAGTTCTGCTGCTGTGTTCCCTGCCTGTGTTTTGTGCTTCAAGGCAAGGCGAGAAGACTTCCTGAGTTGTTGAGAATTGTGCGAAGGATTCGGCGAAAAGGCAACCTGCTTCCTCGAGAACGGTAGCATTTGGTTGTTTGTATCGTTGCAACAAAGGTTGTAGAGGTTGAGAAAAGCCTGCAAGTAGGTCCATTAGGGATGCGGCCAAGATTTTTGGTGCGAACAAGAATATTACTGGTGGCGATGGACTCTTGGTCGCACCAGCCCGATGATGGGTACACGAGCGCTGTCTGATCCATCATGCCGGCGCGTTACCAAACGCATCGGAGACCACGTCCACCATGCACGCGGTGCGTCGAGACAAGGCGATCGTGATGGTACAATGTCGTTTTTGAGGTTCTGGCGGCGCTACACGTTTATGTGCCCACTACTGCTGTGCCCCAAGGGCGTGAGCAACACTAACCGACAGTGGCAACGGCAACCCGTCACTGCGTGTGATACCATTCGTTCTGATGTTTGCGGTGGCCTGGACGGGCGCTTCATTCGCCTTTTGCCGTCCTCGAACATGCGTCCTCGTGTTTCGCCTATGCTCACAGCGTCCACGTCGGTCTCGTGTTTGATCATCGTCCTTGGCACGCGCGTCCACGCGTTGTTTCTTCGTCTGGTCAAATGACGACTTTTCGTCTCCTCTTCCCCCGTACATCGCAGAGAAACTTCGGCCCCGATGCGTGCTCTGTCTCCTCCAACAGCAGCCACCAGCAGCAGGTGCTGCTGCTGGCTGGTCACGAATCCCTTGTGGTTCTCGTATGCATCACACCCCAAAATTCTGTCCGAGCCTTGGTCGCCTGAAAAAGGCTTAACCCCTGGGACATCACGACCACCTCGTTAGCCTCGGCGCAGAGAGAGTCGTTGCAAGAATATGCGCAACTTCACACACTATAGTGACGATGTTCTATATACGGTGTTTTGACAACCGGATGCATCTCATGGGTAACTCGCGGGGAACGTTGAGCAGCGCCCGGTGGCTTGCTAATGCCCACCGGTCTTTCTCAATAGCGGTCATCCTGTCCCAGACCCCGATATCTCAGAAAATCTTGCAAGGAACGGACTGTATACACTGCTGTTGTACGTTGTGTCGTGTGTGCGGATCATTGTACATTGTTCAGAGTCGACAACACCTCTTCACCCCTTGAACTTCCTGAGAGCGCCCCCTGGTTAGGTGAGGGGTAAAACGCGCCATTGCAGACACCGCCACACCAAAGATTAAGATTTCGCGCCCGTTCAATCTCCGCGTCACATGATCACATGATCATCTCTGCTATTCAATCTCCGCGATCTACGAAAAAAGACCCCCCCTCGGGTCTCATCTGTGTGCTCCCCGATGACCAACAAACACGCAGCATCAGCACCAGCACCCACCTTACCAACTACAAGCCGCTCCATCTCTCACATACTCAACTCACCACCAAGCAGGTGAGCCAAAATCATGGCTACATTACTGACGTGTCTCCACCGTGAGGCGGGTAGGACTCGATTGTTTTGTTTGCGGCCATGGAAGTGAGCTTGCCAAGTCTCTCTCTCAGAGCTGTTCCCTCAAGTGCAACAGAGAGCTGGTTTGCTGCGTCGACCCGCACGAAGCGCTCCGGCAGGAAGACGACAATCGCCGCGACGCCGGGCGCATCATTACTCAAAAATGACGAAGCATAGGTCCAACGTCTGGTCACCTGTCTGTTGCTGATGCCTTCCAAGTCTCACTCTGCTGCCAGCACGTGACCGAGGGTTTGTTTTTTTATTGAAACAGACCGCACCTTGTATTCTCGAGACAGAAATACGCCGCCGGTTCGCCGGTTCCTAATGGCTGGTCTACCGTGCGTACATCTGACCTCTCTCCTCTTTCGCACTCCCACCCCGCTCTTGGCGTGCAACACCCCACGGCTTCTTGGGTGGTTCGCTCACTTGTTGGATGTCTTCCCATGCAGCACACATAAGGCCACGATGAACACTTTGCAGAATGTAACGCGGAAAACTGTCGCGGGTGGGCTAGCCGGGATGCGGCGGTCAGGAGCAGCGGTGGCGCATCAGAGGAGAAGCTACCACGACAACATCGTCGAGCACTACGAGAATCCTCGCAACGTCGGCTCCATGGACAAGAAGGACAAGTTCGTGGGTACGGTGAGGTTACTGGAGATTCGGCGCTAAAACGTTGGATGGAATAAGGCGCGCGTTTGGCAACCTCAATCGATGCGGCAACTTCTGTAATGCCGTGTGTGTTCATCACTAACCAGGCATCTTGCGTTGCTGCAACCGTACGGACTTGGCACCGACCCCGGTGATTATCTACCTGCAGCAGTTAGTGCGGCACGCGCACACTGAGGAATCGCGTATATATCCCGGGAAAACTAGTTGTGACGGCTACGCGTTTGCCTGTCACGATATCTTCACTGGGCCAGCAACTTCGATCACGTTGCTCCAGTCGGTGTCGGCTACTGCTGAATGTATGTACCTCAACCATCCCACACCACCAGGGAGTATAATAGTTTGAGAAAATCAAGTACTATTTTCACGGATTGCTCGTTTGCGCCCATACAGGTAGCTCCTCCCCGCCTTAACACCCCGCAAATTACCGACCTAATCACCTTCTGGACAAGGTTTTTGAGATTCTGCCACGTAGCGGAACACTTGCCAACAGAGCAGCGCTTAGCAGCGCTTGCAGCTGCACCAACATAGCGTCAGTGATCTTTCCTTCACCTCAGAAATGGGCGGTGACAGCAGTTAAAGCGTTTACGAAGTCGTCAATGCTCAATGCGCGAGTCCACAACAACATGCACCAGTCCGATGATGAGAGATACTGCTGTTGCCGAGAAGCATGATGCAGGTAGTTCTTGCTCTGGCTTCCCTTACGACTGACAGCCGGCTCACAGACCGCGTACGTCCGCCTTTTACCCCCTGGATTCGCTGGGCTTTTGCCCTTGCGCTCAAAACCATCTCGTCGGTACAAACGACAGGGTCTGGTTGGGGCGCCGGCCTGCGGTGATGTCATGAAGCTGCAGATCAAGGTGAGTCACCGGGAGCCGGGTGCTATGCCCACGGAAAATCTATATTCACCTATTCGTTTCTTGCCCCGATTCCGGTGGTTGCACGATCTTTCGGCATATTTACTTTTGGTAGCAGGCAGAACGAAGAGGTCCGCGAGACCGAACCACAACGTGGCGATAAGACATGTAACTCCTTGTTGTTTTTTCTCAGCCACATACTCTTCCACCCGACGCGAAACAATCCAGGACGAAGGCACGCCACCCCTCCCCCCGTTTTGGCCGTCTGCCACGTAGAGAGAGTCGGCCCCTCAACGCGGGTCAAACTCACCGCTTCTTCTCATGCGATGTGGGCTCGGAACGGTGCTATCGCACCAACTTATCAAAAGTATCCTCAATACTATCGCGTGTCGTCTGGTGTTCACCCCCTGCTTCAAAACCATGCCAGTGTATCTGCTGTGTTGCTTGCTGCATGCGTGTCGTGTGTCTCGTGCACCACCGGCTGTGGCGTGGACGTGTTCTTTTCCCTGTGTGTTTGATATCTCTCTTACTCGTAATGTTTTCTCTGTCTCCTTGTCTTTATTTCGTCTCCCCGTCTCTCGTCGTTTTTTTAAGGTGGACGAGAACGGGGTGATCACCGAGTCGAAGTTCAAGACGTTCGGGTGCGGGTCGGCGATCGCGTCGAGCAGCGTAGCGACGGAGTGGCTCAAGGGGCGCTCCGTGGACGAAAGCTTGAAGATCAAGAACACCGACATCGCAGGGCACCTCAAGTTGCCGCCGGTGAAGCTGCACTGCAGGCAAGGGAACATTTCTAGTAGAATAAGTAGAGCTCGGTTGGACACACCTCTCTCTCTCCCCGCTACTACCTCCGCGTGTTTTCTCCTTCGTCACTGGTATATACACGAGCGACAGACGAGTGACGGCCATCGAGGGCGGCGGGTGCCCTCTGTTTGGCAACCCTCTTTGTTGAATGTTTCGTGTCAAGGGCGGCAGCTATCATGTAACATAGACTTGATTTTGATTTGTCGCTCTCTCGCGGTGTGTCCGCGTGTGCTGTATTCTGTCTCCGGCCCGCAGCATGCTCGCAGAGGACGCGATCAAGGCGGCAATCAAAGACCTCCAGGACAAGGGCGCCGTCGCCAAGCCGGCACAACACGCGTTAGCGGCATGATCAGATTGGGTCCGGGTTGACGTTGCCGTCAACACGCCGTTTAGGAAGGGTGGGGGGGTGTTGTCCTTGAACTTGAACCATTTTCTTTTCATTATTTTTCGAGGAGCACTGCCCACTGGGGGGGTAAGATCTGACCCATGGTGGGAGCGGGGGGCGCTGGAACCGAGAAGAAAAATGGCAGATTTGAGGTTGGCGGGGGAAGAGCTGCACGAAGAGATTTCTGAGCTGTGGGACGATGTGCATCATTAACTGGCCATGGGAGAGGCTGAGAGAAGAGTGGAATTGACGTAAGGACACCGTTCGGCGGGGTTTCGGCAACACGCTCATACTCGGCATGCAAGGCTGTTCTGTGTTGGCCATACCCAGCTGCTGAACACCGGAGAGTCCGTGTGTCCTCAGGTGGTTGGCGGGGGTGGGTTGGAGATCGGGAGGAAGGGAAAACTGTGAGGGCAGAAGGAGAAGGCGGCCAGGGAAGGGAGGATGACGGAGGAGGAGAAGCCAAAGACCGTGCCAGCTCCGTGTTTTTTCTTCTCGAACCGTGAAGAGAGATAAAATGGGGTGAGAGGAGACAAAGCTTCTTTTTTTGCACGCGCTCCGCACCCGCTTTCCCGGTGCCGAGTGAAGAAGGAGACTCCTCGAGGGCAGCCAAGGCGATAGGGAAGGCCAAGTTTTCGGGCTTGTGGCATACGGACTACTTGCGGCTTCTTCTCTCTTGTTGTGTTTCTCGTAGCGTTGGCGGAAGCAGGAGCGTCGCGAATTGATCTTGTGTTTGGAAATGGGGAGATGAGTACGATGAATGGCCTTGTGCTGGGCGATCGCACGGCTCGCCCTTGTTTCACGGATTGCGGGCCCTTTCCGCTCGAGCGTAGCCTACGCACCCTGTCGGTCGAAGTGGCGACTTTCTTTTTTCCCGGCGTGGAAAATGTTTCCCTCGGCCTTGTGACCAGTGACTGCCAGTCATGGCGTTCTTGCAGTCTAACCACCGTGTCGCTGCTGCCCTTCACGCAACACGCTTAGAATTTCGTTTGGCAGCAGTCCCGGGGTTAGCGGGGTTGGTGTTCGTTTCGCCATCCGACCATCCAATAAAGACGTCGTCGGTTACGGATGCGAGCCCTGTGTGTTGCACGGAAGAGCGTTTAGCGATCACCGTTGTCGAAAGCTCAAGATTTAGATTGATCGGCATTTTTTCTGGTTGCAGAACCAAAAAAATATATATATTTTTTTGCCTGGAGGAAAGAGAATGATGAATTGTATACGGTTGACGATATCCATTGTTCCTTTGAGGACAGAGACGCGTTGTGTATTCGTTACGTCATGTGCAGAACAGTCACCGTTAGGGCACAAGCAAACGGCACATGTGCGGGGTCGGAGTGATTTGTGCGTAGGCTGTTGCTAAATCGTATACCCGAACGTAATCGTTTGATAACGACACACGTGTCTCGGCATGAGACCCTTGGCTAGTGCATTGTATCCACAAGGAGGCAGGCACGACGTGGTGCTGCTGAAGTCGGCGCAACCGTATCGACGAATACTGTTCTCTTCGCCCGGCCGAACAAACTTCGAAAAGAGGAATGAGTGCCTGCAGATGGGTACATCCATTTTTTGTCGGGCGGAGAGGAGGTGGAAACGAACAAGACTTGGTTACAGTACTTGCCTCTCAATGAGGGGGATGTTTTAGGCAGGAGTGAGAAATTACGCAGCACACGTGCACTCCGCTGCCACTTCACCTTCGGCGCGACTAATCAATCTCTTCTTTGTAAAGAAAGCAAGCCGCAGAGCATACGTTAAACCCTACGTGCATATGCACTGCTCCCCCCACCAAAAAGTCCCTGCAGCGCTAGTAGACTAACGTTTATCTCCGTGGACACGAAACACAGAATGGCATGTAGCAGCAGACTCCTCTTGCTGCCAACCACAGTCGTATCGTTGAAACCGCGCATTTTCCTTGACAAAAACAGCTTCTTTTTACTCGGATCATCTTCCTGATCAGCGAGGAGGGACGCCATAAAACAAGAAAAGCCTTGCATCCCAAATATTCACCATATTTTAAACTATTTTCTTCCAGCTCCAACGGTGTGGCCTCGGTCAGCCTCAATCAATCCTCTCGCGCACCGAAAATAAGACTGGCCAACGACACACCCACCACAATTTTTGGGTGGCATCATCTATAAGGTGCCCACCCACGAGAGATCCATCTCTAACACACACCCTGCTGTAAACTGGCCTGCATCTCTCCTACACCATGCTACAATCGGACGCCTCGCCGCAACGCTACCTGATGTACATACTCGAAGGGGGTGCCTCCCCGCCTGTAGCGACTGTCTTGCAGACACTACACCGGTGGAAAACCGATCGTACACACGAGCCCCCGCCAGAGGGCAAAGCAACAGGCGATGCGTTCCCCACGTCCCTACGGCTACACAATCTACGGCGACGTGAGGCGCGATATTGCTCCGTTTCAGTGGACTGCTGCCGTAGAGCAGTGTACCGATTTATGTTGGAGGGAAGCCCTCCGCCACCGAAGGCCTGTTGCCTCGAAAAACCCAAGCACGCGCTAACAAGAGAAAGAGAAAGAGAACACCTCTCAAGTGAGTTACGTCAAAGAGGATAGGTCTTACACCGCCATGATGACGCTCTCTTTCTCGACAACGGGCTGTGGATGCCAAGAAACAGACAAGCCAGCTCAGCTGGCGAAGAAGAGCATTGATTGAGAATCAATAGAGCCGCCGCACTACGGGATACACGTGATGCTGTCTTCACTAAAACCTGGAGAACACGCCAAAGGAAATGCACTAATTGCGCCGCTCAGCAGACGTGACCAGGATTAAAATTAACCTTCCCTTGTCCACGACACCAACACCACAAGCAGAGAGGCCCCAACTACCGTAAACGTAATGCCCCCTTCCTCCCAACGGCGGGGAGTTCAGAAAGCGGAGAGACGGTTGAGCCTGCTCCTGGCTATACACTAGCAGCCCACGCATCTCTGTACAAAAATCCTTCACCAACACTACAATGACAGTCTACAACTCGAACACAATATTGGCCGAGCGCCTTTCTCGCTGAGAGCTACCGCAAAACATTTAACAGCGTGGACAAACGAAGCAAAATGTAACACAAACTATATATCACCCCCGATCTAGACAAACACACACGTCACTTCACCAACCACAGAGAGAAAAAGTGTGCCGCTCCGTTTGTTTGAATACGTTTTTGGGCCCGTCAGCAGCACCCAAAACGCTTCGCCCCGGCTACACAACGAACGGCCAACAACTCCCTAACAAAAAAACACCAGCGCGCGACAATTAAAGAGTGTATCGGCGTGGTGCGCCGACAAGGCTGGTCAAGTCAAGCCAAGTGGCGCCACAAACCACGCGCTGTGTAGGGGATCGTCTAGGAAGATGCTTCCGCTCAGGAATAGGGAAAGGTGACCTTAGCAGCCTGTCCTGGGTGTCGAAAGGTGCTCGCACCCTTAGGCGGTGCGACATTCCGGGTCCGAAATCGAGCACGGCTCTTGAAACAACGCACCAACCCACAACGTCACACAACGTCCCCACAATACGGGAGATCAGGTGTGGGCGGGTGGTGGCGTACCAGTTACAAACGGACAGAGGGCCGCCAGACCAAGAACGTCGAAAGACCCCGACACATGAAAACGCGACTGAGGCTACGCGTTAATATGCATATGTCTTCGTTATTGTTTCCGATGTCGTAGCCAGCTCCTAGCGTCAACTTCCCCCCTCGGTTGATGAAAATTGATGAACGCTACAGTCTATCTCTCCCTGCATATCCTGCACAAATGTTCTGACTCTACCGTTTCTCCTCCTCGCTCTAGCCTCTTCCTCTTCCCCCTTCCCTCGCGGCCAGGAAACCATCACTCATCTCCAAGGGAGCGCTCGTCCCCTGTCGAGCGTCCAACCGACAACCAATACAAATATCAAACACTGTAATGAAGAGAAGGCTGAGAAACCACCATGGGTCCCTCCACTCTCGTGGTATCGCATAGCTGGTGCTGGTGCTGATGTTGTTGTTGTTGTTGTTGTTGTTGTTGTTGTTGTTGTTGCTGCTGCTGCTGGTACTGATGGTGCTGATGCTGATGTTGTTGTTGGCCTCGTTGGTGTTGCATGATGCTGTGTTGCGTTTGCTGATACTGCTGCTGCTGCTGTTGCTGCTGCTGCTGCTGTATGAGGTGAGGGACGTGGCTCCTGCTTCTCGCCGCCAGCGACTCCTGATCCATCGGCGTCATGGCAACAATACCCTCGACCGCTGCCCCAGCGGCAACACCGGCCATCACACCAGGCACTGCACCCGCGCCGGGAATGCTACAGTCACCACCACCAGCACCACTCTCCCCTCGCCTCTGTCGCTTAGCCTGCTGGTGCATCATCGCCACCCCCATGCCGCCGTCATGCGACGGGTGCTCGGGAAAGGAAGTGGGGAGCGACGCCGGCGGGAGGGGCGGAGGCGGGAGGGCCGGAAGGGCGGCGCCAGGCGCGACCGGGGTAGTAGCCGTGCCACGCTCGCTAGTCGCGACATTGGCTTCAGTCATTGGCGGCGCCGGTGTAGGGGCTGGAGCGACGGGTGTTGCCGCAGTCGTGATTGTGGAAGGCACTGACAACTCAGCTGCCGGTGTTGTTGTTGTTGTTGTTGTTGTTGCTGCTGCTGCTGCTGCTGCTATTGCTGGGGCGGGCGGGGCAACAGAGGCGTGCCTTGATGTCGGCGCTGCTGCCGTTGTTGCTGCTGCTGCCTTGTCAGCCTGCGTCGGCACCTCCCCCTTGTTTTCTGTCGAGTCTTGCTTGAGGAGCAGCCATGCCTTGTACTCGGCAAGCTCGCGCGCGTATCGTGCTTTGTCCTGTGAATGAAAACACACATACACACACACACCGCCGTGGCCGTAGCAGCAGCGACACATTCGTAAGAAGGGGAGGGAGCACGGTACACGTGAGCGTTTGGCAAGTATACCACGAAACAAGAAACAAGGGAGAAAGAAATAACTACCGCATCCCACCCCTCTATTTATTTGGATCCACCTTGCCTGTTTAGAGGTTTGCAGATTCACAGCAGTCGTGATACAACCCAGAGATGAAACCACGAAAGCCTCTCCGAGATGAACATTTGTGCTGTTTCAAATGCGGGCAGCCAAAAGCACACCAGCTACCCCGCCTCGACTTGCCCCGTCGTACATATGGCGAGGTCGATTATCCTATTGAGCAGGGCAAGGAGAAAGCGACAGACTTCCCGCCCTCTCTCCCCTCCTCGATTGTCGACCGAGTCTTTCCGACGGAACCCTAAAAGCCGGCCACGCCCTTACCACCCAAAACATCCGTCTATATAACTTGGTTCCATCTCCGACAATACCGAGCCCTGTCAAGCGGGGTACACCCGCTTTGAACGAGAGATCAGTGTACTGCTGTCGGCATGGCATGCACTTGACGGTGTAGTGCTGTCGGTCAACGCTAGATGTAGTTCCGAGTCGGTTTGGTTCCTTGCGATGAGAGATGTCATTCACGTTCTTGTTCTCACCCAAATTCCTATTTAATTTAGTAGGTTACACGCCGATTGCAGCAGCAGCAGCAGTAGCCTAGGCCCAAACGATTTCTGCTGGGGCTTGAAGGTTGTCACCGTTATGCTCTGCGTGCCTTTGTCTGCTGCGTGCTACTCTATTACCGCGGTTGGAAGCGTTCTTGCTGCTACAATATGAGCGGTAGGTAGCACGGCCCGAAGCCGTTACATGTTACACACACCTCGGCGGAAAGGTCGTCAAAAGGTCGCTTTTGTTCATCCGTTGCCGACTTCCACAGCACCCCCACTGCCTTCCCGATATCGCTGAAGCTCATCTCGCGGTTCTTAGTCCTGAGGATCGCGCGATGGTGTCGAGAGAACCACATGAACGAGCTCACGGCAGGCTTGGGCAATCCCGCCAGACGAGCTTCTTTCTTCCGCCTCGACCTGCTGCTGCTGCTGCTGCTGCTGCTGTTGGCATTTTTGGGTTGTCTGCCGCTGGCGCTGGCGTTGCCACCCGAAGATCTTCTGCTTCCAAACTTCGCCAGGCTCTCCGCGTAGAGGTTAGAGAGCAGGCAATACTCCTTCGTCTGCTGCGGAGTGAGAAGCTGCCACAGGCGACAAATCTCTCGACTGATATCCTGGGAGAGGGGTGATGTTTCCCTGCTGCTGCTGCTGCTGCTGTGTGTGTTGATCCGCGCCTTGACGGCGTCTCGGTGCTCCGTGTAGAAGAGCATGAAAGGCGTCAGCCTACCCACCACAGCGCCTTCCATACTTCGCACACACAACACAGGGTATTTGGGGGGCGGCGGGAAGGACACAGAGGGGAGGGGAGAAGAGAAGAGGAAGGGATAAGCAGATCGAGACACAGCAACCCACAGAGCGAGAGCTAGGGGATCCGCGAACAGCATGCCGAAATACCGTGATAGGTAGGTCGTCTATTCCATGGCGAGCTGCGTGCCCCTACGAGCGAGTGCGAACCAGCGAACTGCTTTGTTGAACACCGTCAACTACCAAGAGACAGGGAGAGAGACAGCGTGCCTGGTGGAAGGCTTGGGTGCTGTGGAAGGATGGTGCTTACCCAGAAGCAACGGCATGATATGTGAGCGTTGCGTCGTGGCTTGGAATTGCCACCGAAGAGCACACCACAAAGAGTTACAGACACACACTGCACCTTGCTGTCTCGCTCAAACAGACGTGCGAAACAAACGTGCTTTGCATCACAGGGTGTGCTTTCGGGAGAGTTGCCACACGCCTGTGGCCGATATTGCGTACTTAAACAACGATCCATGTGTGGTTGGGGCACTGCAGTATACATAAAGTATGCAAGCAGAGAAAGAGGCTGGCCATGGTGCACAGACATGCAGATGAACTACGCCGAAACGGCTGCTTTTGTTCTTTGTTGTCTCTCCTTTCTCCAGATGTCAGTGCAGCCGGTGCAGACAAGGGGAGAAATTTGAGAATTATTCCTCGAAACTCCGTCTGTCTCGCACGAAATAAAAGTGAAAACGTGTTTAGTTGCACACGCATCTACAATGCCTCTCACGAACAGGATTGATTGCAATTAAGGCTGCTCCGTCCTGCCTTGATCATATTTTCGACGACAAGTGCTCTTCCCGCGTGGTATACGATGGACAGAGCAGGTGGAGTAGCCTGGACCTTCTGGCTAAGGATTAGACTGGATTAAACGTTCACATGCGTACAACAGCAGTAGTAGAAGACTGTCATACAACAGCAGTCTACCTGTATGCAAGTGTTTCAATGTTGTAGGAGAGTCTATGCAAGAACACACATCATTTAAGATTCTCGTCAAGAGGTTGTAGTCTGATGTGTGTGGCATGTGTCACGTGTTCTTGAGCGACGTAACATGTGTGAATCCCACTTCACTTTGTACGTAAATCCCATCCCGATGTAATCAGTTTTCAATCTCTCTCGCCCCTTACCAACAGGTTGAAGAGTTGATACCATCGTATTGTATGCATGGTGCGCACCACTTTGCAGATGGGCTGTTGTATGCGTAGTATAGCTGGTCGATTGGCGAAGAGCCGGACAGGGTGTGATACACGTGTCATGTGTCATGTTTCATGTGGTCCAGCCGACAGAGGAAACAGTAGCAAAAACCTTCTCTAGATATATATACCAACAGGAGGGCATAGGGGTCCAAACGGGCATGCATGTGGGAATCGACTGTTGCTGCTGTTCCTTGCTTGTAGCAACCGAAGTCGTGAGCTCGCCTCCTAGATGCAAAGGTGCAAAGAGCCCGTGCTTTGCAACATCTTTCAAGACAGGATTTAAGAACATGCTTCGTACGTTCTAAATAGGCGCATAGACTCAATGCCCAGATAGGGGCAGGGGGCAGGACTGGAGCGCGCCAGCCGTACTCGAACAACTCTGTGCTCTCGGTTGAGTCAATGCGCATGATCGTCGACTAGGATAGCATGTCACATAGTGTCACCTGCTTTGACGGAGGAACTGGCTACCACGGCGCTGTGTGCAACAAATTCGACTTGACGGTCCGATGAAAGAAAGGAACGGCTGAACCCCCTTCTCGCACCGCAGAACGGAAGGTGGAGAAGAATCATAACTCCTGAAGAGCCATTTTTTTTTATATTGCAGCAATCCCACGGAATCAAAGGGTACAGCCACTTACCCGGAGTGACTCATCGAAGTTGTTGTACGTCCTCCCTGTTTGTAAGTGCTGCTGTGTACTTTTCCTTTCCTCGGCCGTGGGAACGATCCCACGCGCTTGAGGTCCGTGACCCGGCTGTCACCGCGCTGTACGAGGATGACATCGTGGATGAGTGGAGTAGAGTCGTCCTGGCCCGCGACGGCGGTACGCATGAGCGACGGCCTTCGTGTCCGCCGTGGCGGGCCAGGAGGATTCTACTCCATTTGTCCAGCATGCCATCCTCGTGCAATGCGGCGACAGCCGCGACATGGACCTCATAACTATAAAACGCCTCCGTATACCGTCGGAGGGGTCTCCCGACATCAGCCTTCTGCACAAAATGAATCCTGACCCGTGGGTTTTGTTCGCTCGATGTACCATGTTTTTTCGTTTTTTCCAGCTCCCACAGCAGTTTTCATCCCGTACGCATTTCATCCCGTAGCTCCATTTTTGGTTTGTCAAAGAAGTCTCCTACTATGCGTATGTGGGACCTCGGCAGGGGCCACGCGAAAGGGATAGATTGGATCGCGTTTCGACTTAAATGAATTGTACCATTCGACAACCCTCAATCGATTCACCAATCGACCGACCACGCGCTACCCTGGGAATGCTCCGGCTCACCAAGAGCAACAGGGGGAAGGGGGGGCGACGACAACAACCTCTGCTTGCAGGAAAATATGCAACTCCCTCCCCCCCCTTCAACATTCCCTGACCCCCCATACCCCCCCCCCGCCCCCCGCCAAATCACTCTACTATCGAACGCCGAAAAGGCACGTGGGGATGCTCGAGTACATGAAGGGGCAGGGGGAGGACTTTGCCGATGCAGCGGCTGCGTTTGCGGTGGCGACGGGTCTGGAGGACGCAACGGGCAACGAGAGTTTCCGTGGCTTGCTGGAGAAGAAATGGACGTCTGTCGTTCGCCTCCAGAGAAAGGTGAGGAGTTGCGGGGCTTAGCTTTTTCTGGCCTTGCACGGCTGATCAAGTACACTGCTGTTTCCTAGAAACCACCTCGCCTGCTGTGAGTTTTGTGATGTACTTGGTGTGCATTTGCTGTTGGTGTTTTCTTTGCGATAACCCTAGCACAGGTGAAAGCGTGTTTGCTGTTCTTTATTGCCAGCGCAACGAAGCGAGACACGGTGTTGATACAGGCAGGCAGAATCCGACGGAGTACAACAGCAGGGGAAGTGGGTTGGAAGAATTGCTCGTTATTTCTGGTGCCACCACAGAACGCGATCAAAATGAAACAGAGAGACAAGTTGCGTTTCAAGAGCGAGTGCAACGGTGTCTTGCCAGTTATCTTCCTTGGAGCGGAGTGCGGACGTCTGCTGCCCCGCGTGGATGTAGATCGACGTGTCAAGGCGGAGAACCGCGGGAAGAACCAGCTACAAACGTAGCGGCACCCTATAGCTAAGAGATCGGGGTCGTCGTTGGCGTTGAGATCTTGCGCAGCAGTATCGTGCCCTCTTGTTTGTTGTTGTTGCTGTTGTTGTCCTTGTTGTCCTTGTTGTCCTTGATCTTCCTGAATGCTGAACTTTCTCCACCGACTTCGGTGCTGGGTGTTGGCGGTCCTCTCCCGCTCTGCTGTACCTGCAGATATCGTAGCTGCTCTGCTATCCCTGGTTGTATTCCCATCGGTCGCTGTGTGCTTACATCTGGGGTGCATTCGACTTGGCTGTAGATAAGCGTTCCGGAAATACGAACATGGTGATTTAACGCATCACGCCCATGTGTTTCCAGAAGCCGAGAAGACGCTGGGTCCCACATGCCCGCCGCTGTTGCTCTCCGCCTGCCTCTCTCCTCTGCACTATAATACTACCATACTAAGGTTATGGACCTCGAGGCGCGATTGGACCAGGCGCAACAAGACCTCAAGAGCGGGGTCAGACCAGGGAGAGAAAAGGGCGCTGGCGGGAGCGATCGCGTGTTGCCGAGGGCGCCGGCGAAGGGCGTGCTCACTGGACACCGGAACCCGGTCACGTGCGTGGCTCTGCATCCGCTCTACAGCGTCGTCGCTTCCTCCAGCGAGGATGCCACCGTCAAGGTATGGTGTGGTATGGTGTAGCTGGGTCTGGTATGGTACTGCACGGCATGGTGTGGTGTGGTGGTACGGTACGGTATGGTATGGTGTGGTACGGTAAGGTGGGGTAGGGTAGAGCGAGGGCTGCATAGGTTTTTTGGCTTTCGACATGTTCCAGAGGCGGTCCAAGCGCGGCTATAGTTGCTCCCTTCGTTCGAGGTGGTAGGCGTGTTTTGTGTTCGTACATTCGTGCTTGGTCATCATCGTCATCATCGTCTTCGATGTTGTCATGGTTGACCGTCGTTGCTGGTGCTGTCATCATCAGCTGTCGTTGTTGTCCCTTGTTCTCACGCGTCGCTCCTGCGATGACTACTGAAGAGCTGTTATGATTCATGAAGGCGAGTATTCTACCGCAGTGCTGTCTGTGCCCTTTGTGAAGTACTTCCACCGTTTGCGTTTTTTTCTCGCCGCTGAGCGCATTTTTTGGAGGGGGGTGGAGTGCTCCTCCTTGTTGGCCCCGGACGCTCGCGGGACGGACACACCGCGTCACAGCCTCATCGCGTTGACTGCAAGAGTAGAGCAATGGTAGTCTTCCAACCTTGTGCCCTTTTCCGTGCAATGGTGTTGCTCGAAAGGTGTGAGAAACGCCGTTGTCTCACGTAACGCTATTCGTGCTACATAGGTTTTGTTACAGCAGCTGTGAGGAGGCAGCTGTCTAATCTGTGCTATGGCTCGCGTGCGGGGGTGATGCTGTACTTGACGACGTTACCGTAACCGTAGGTGTGGGACTACGAGACGGGTGAGTGTGAGCGGACCCTGAAGGGGCACACGAACGTGGTGCAATCGGTGGCCTTCAGCCCGGATGGACAGCGCCTCGCATCTTGCGCGGCCGACACAACCATCAAGGTAAGAAAAGCGCTGTTGGTAGTTGGACTAGGGGGGTGAGGCTTTCGTCTCAGGTTGGTGACTACCCTCTTTGACTAGGTGGCCTGTGAGGCCACGGAAGGCGTCCGTGTCAGCTAGACCGGTACTGATGTATTTCGAAGGTACTCAGCATAGACCGGAACGTTTTTTGTTGAAGTGAAGTTAACAACGACAACAACCTTGCTTGACTGTTGATTGGGTTTACAACGAACCCCATTGTCAGCGCGAACTATGAAACATCACCACCATCTCTTCTCTTAAAATATGTGGATCATTGCCCTTGTACAGGCACCAACCGACACGGCCATCAGTTGTGTTTGAGCGAGTCATTGATCATTAGTCAGCCGCTACGGCTCCTGTTCAAGCTCAGTTTGTGGGCAAAGAAGCCTTGAAAACACTGCTGTTGGATGGTTTACTAAAAATGGGTGGTGTTGTAGTGCTTGGTCGGTACCATTTTTCTTCCACAAGGATGCTTGTGTTCTCGGCCATGTACCTCAAGAGCCTTTGGGGCGAGCATGTTAATTCCTCCCTCTTTAAAAAAAAACAGATTCTTATTGTTTTCGTTCCCTATTGCTTCCTTTTGTTTTCTTGTTTGCTTTCCGCCGCTCTGTCCTCTGCTGTCGCCTTGTCTTCGTCCATCATGATGAAATCGATTTTGATTCATGTCTATTTTACATGCCCGCGGCACCTGGCCTTCCGCTGGTGCTGCTGTACACGCTCGGTCTTCAATATCTGCCGTCGCCAAACCGGACTCGATGCCCGTGGCGCGGCTTCTGGCACGGTGTGGCATCGCATGCCAACGCACGGCTCGCTCGGCGCCTGGCTTGGGGGGGAATGGTGTTCGCTGCTCCTGGAAAAGATCTGGAATTTCTCGGAGGGTGGGGCGGGCGGGGCGGAGTGCCTCAAGACCTTGAGAGGGCACGACCACAACGTGTCCTGCGTGGCCTGGGTGCCACCGGCGGGGGACACTTTGGTCTCGTGTTCCCGAGACCAGACCATCAAGTTGTGGGAGGTGCGATTTGGGTGTGTGGGAACACGTGCTAGCTGTTCTTCTGATTGTTCGGCGAGGGGTTCTTTGAGGCCGCCTCCTTGTCCGTGTATGGCTCTCGTCACTTTGCCGTCTGCGGAGGCTTGCGTGTGGAGAGGCATGGCTCGAATGTATGCTCGGGTCGTTCGCTATCGGATGCCTGCCTGGCTGCCTCAAAGATACTTTTCTTGTTTGTGTTGACAGCAGTAGTCCACACAGCACACAGGAAACTTATTCTAGTCTGGGGATGGCATCTACGAGATCTACGATCAAGAGTCGCAGGCATGCTGGGCTCAACACCTTGTGGATGCCGCCAAACCAACTCTGAATCTCTTTGCTGCTGCGACTGCCCGCCGAGCCGGTGGACACGCTCCCCCCCCCCCCCCCCCCC